TTTTTATCATTCTTTCAAGTTTCGATTTATTTGCAAGGTTTTTGTTTGATAATGAGCTGCAATTTTATAAAAAAAATAATTAAAATTATTTAAAAAAATAAAATAAATACCGGGTGACCGTGTAATTTTGTCAAAGATGAAGACAATGATGATAAAACATTAATACACTATATAGGTCAGTTCATATTAATGAACATAAAATGAGATCACTATCGATAAAATAGAAATCCTCAAAGGAAATTTATAATTTCAACGCATGGAATTTACATACATTTTTTTACTTTCAACCCCCAAATTGCTCAATTACTTCTATTTCTGCAGGACCGCCATTAGGTAAATTGCATTTCCAAAAATTTTTTGAAAATAAATAGCGATGAGGGATATTTCACCCGCCGGTGATAAGAAATCGCAATCACCATAACGCACATCACTAATATTACTGTTCACAATCACGTTTACATTCAAAATTACAATTCATAATTTCCTTTTGTAGCAAATATGAAATATAGGTACATATATCCATTTTCTTAAATGTAAACGGATTAAGAATCAAAGTGCTAGAAGAGATTTGAGCGTTTGGTACAAAAAGTATTTTTGATGTTGAAATTGTACTTAAAATCGGCAAATTGTACTTTTGTACATTTTAAAATTAATTATACTGAAAAAAGTACAATTGTACTTAAAATATCAACACTGTTTCACTGGCGCTGTACTAGCTGCAGCGTTGCCAGATTTGAGCGTACCCAATTTTTTACCGATAATAACTCATGCGAGGGATTTGGGTATTGGGGATTTTACAAGCCTATTAGGAAGTATACACATCTGTGTTCGTATAGAATAGTAGCTTATGTCGGAAGACTGGCTTTAGTATAATGAACCATTCGCAGCATACGATTGCGAAAGATTCACTGGCGCCGAGTCGTTGAAGAACTCTTGGAAAATAAACGTAAAAGACGGTAATGTTAATGGCGATGCTAGCAAGTCAATATTCGTATAAAGTTTCATAAAAAAATTCTTTGTGGTTTAAAGAATATAGGCAATGGTACATTTTACTAAAGTCAGCCTCCCGACATAAGCTACTATTTCATACGAACACAAATATATTCGTCTACAAATAATGTTGATTATTTTAATTAAGTCCTAAGATAAGTTTTGTGAATCTTATCAGTGTTCTATGTAAGAACCAAAAATCAATCCCCTCGCCAATTAGAACTTTTGCTTTAAAAGAAAAATATTCATAGCGCATTTACTCAATACTTGGTCTGGCATCACTGTTTGAGCATTGATGTGCTCAGCTCACTGTTGCCAAGTTCGTGCAATTTGCACTAAATTTAGTGCTTTTGGTAAACCAAAAAGCCAAAATAATTGGAACTCAATGCTTGGTGCGGTATTTAGTGATGCTTTTTTAATTTAAGCACACCGAAGGCATAGGTACATATGGATGTATGTGTACACTATACACTAATATTCTACATTAAGATGGAATTCATTTACTGAATAAAATGTGAGGAATAGGTAAATTAAATATGTTTTGCGTTGTTATAAATGTATTGAAATTAATTTATTAATAAAAACGTGAGGAAATGGATATGTATGTATATACACTTTTTACTGAATCAAAAAAATTATTAAACATGATAATAAAAATTTGGCGCTTTTCTTTTGGAAAAATTGGCTTTTTCTGGTGGCCTGATGCCACACTGCCTCAGTTGTCGCAAAAGTACACATACATACACACATTTTTACTTGAAATTAAGTGTGTAGTGGTTAATATGTATACGATGCCATCTCCGTACGCGACGTCGACTGCGTGCACCTCTGCTGTGCATCCCTACTTTCAAGGTATTGGCCCAATGCACGCTTGCTTTGCTTGCTTTGCTTACTTTAGTTTGCTTTGCTTTACTTTGAAGGCTTTTATGGCCTAATGGTAGCTTTGAACGCTGTCATAGTAGTCAGCTGATTTTCAATGCGCGCAAATATACCCGCCATTCTTTGTTGTGCCAGCAAGTATAATTGTGAATTTTAGTTAAAATATATGTTATTAAACAATTATTTGTTACTAAGAACATAATTTTTTACAGATACCTTCTTTTTTATCGTTCCGGTTTTGGTGAAGCTGCATTTGGCTGCGCCACTCACCACCCGTGTTTATAAGACGTAATATTCAATTGGAGGTAAAAGAGTTTATATTAAACAATTATTTGTTGCTAACAACATTATTTTTTTTCAGATACCTTTCTTTTTATCGTTCCGGCCACCAGATTCGTTGGTTTTCATAAAGTTTCATTAGGCAGTACAAAATGTTGACTCGAAATGCTGAACAAGTTTTGAGAATTTTCCTAATTTTAGCGAAAATGCGTAAATTAAAACTGCGATTAAAACAGAAGCGCCGATTTTGGGTTCGGAAATTGTACTTAGAGCGACACAAATATGGATTGTTTGAAAGTTCATTAAGAAACTTGGCTGCAGATGAGGAGCAGTTTAACAAGACATTAAGAATGCCCTTTTCGTTATTTAATGTGCTGCACGAATTTCTGGAGGCTTCGCTGACCAAATATTCAATCAGAACACCAATATCGAGCCGCTGCAGACTATTTATAACCCTGATGTAAGAGAAAATCGGTTTTACTTAATAGTATACGTATAATTTTCCATATATGTATCTGGTTTTATTTTTTTGTTGCAGATATTTGGCTCACGGTGGCACTCGGCAATTCCACACAATAGTTCACAGGATCGGCCTGACGACTTTCAGGAAGATTACGTTGGAGACATGTATGACCATATGGGATCTGTTAGCTGACCTGTATGTGGCGACCCCGTCAGAAACGGAATGGGGACGTATTTCCAATGAGTTCAAGTCGCTGTGGAATATGCCCAACTGCGTTGGTTCCATCGACGGAAAGCACATTAATATTACCTGTCCAGCGAATTCAGGGTCGATGTACTATAATTACAAAGGCAATTATAGTATCGTGCTTTTGGCCGTATGTGATGCCAATTATACCTTTACCTGCGTTGACATCGGAGCATATGGAAGTCAAAGCGATGGCGGTGTCTACCACTTTTCAAAACTGGCAGATGCTATTGAAAATGATAGGCTCGGCCTTCCACATGATCAGCCTCTGCCAGGAGAAACCGAGCCATTTCCACATTATTTAGTAGGAGATGCTGCTTTTCCCTTACGGCGTTATTTAATGCGACCATATCCGGGTAGAGGTATTCCAGAAGAGCAAGAGTATTTCAATAAAAGACTCTCTCGTGCAAGAAGAGTTATAGAAAACGCATTTGGAATACTCACTGCCAAATGGAGAATATTGAGAACGACGCTATGCATGGCCCCGAAAAATGCAGAACAAATAGTGAAAGCTTGTATTGTCTTGCATAATTTTATTAAGCTTTCGTGTGCAAACTATGTAGCAAGCGATTTTGTTGATCGCTACGAAGAGGATGCCACCATCGCTGGCTCATGGCGAAACGAAGTAGTTCCATTGCCCTCAATAAGTAGGGTGTCATCGAACCGAGGCAGTTCAAATAATTATGATTTAAGGGATGCTCTGAAGACACATCTTTTTAACAATAAAATTTAAATAATTACTACTCACTGAATATGCTTTGTTTTTATTATTTAAGATAGAAAACAAAAATTTGAACTCACAGTATGAGGGCACTTATTGGTAATGTTTTAAATGTCGTCACATCTTTCAGGTTCGATTACATATTTATTACATATTATTACATTACATATATATATTATATATTACATATATATTCGATTACATATTTAATTCGCAAAATCAAAATCAGATTTCATACTAAATTAGATTACATATAAAGTTCGCAAAATTGAATTCAAACTGGATGTCATTTAAATTTTTAAATTTCGTAAATTCAATTTTTATAATTTTTATATTGAGCATAGACGTATTGAAGTACGTCCATTTGAAAATCTAGGCGGCTCTCTTCTGGGACCTTCTCAAACACTTCGCCAATCGCACCCAAGAAATTGTTGTGTGTTTTTTTTTGACTATCCACAAACTGACTTACTTCGTGGACTAGATCGTTAAAGGCGGCGTTCTCATCGTTTTTTTTCTTTTGTCTCTTAGCCGGCGTTGGGGCAGTGGTTTCTTGCTCTTCTATTATAATGTTCCCACTCTCGCCTATTTGGAATCCAAAGGAAGTATCCAGTATATCTGGTTCTTGTCCGAGAACTTCTGGCGTTTGGGAGACGATGTTTGTTGTTGTCCTTAAAATATGTACATATAAATTACAATTTAAAATATAAATACTTGTTGTACAAATGTAAAGTACACTTACTGTCTGGGCGTGACCGTGTCTTTCAAAAACGACGCAGCACTTCCGCTAGGTTGTTGATCAACCTTCAATTCTATTCCATATCGGTCTCTTAACGATTTCCATCGCTTTCGGCAGTTTTCCTCTTTAAAGTAAAAATATAGTATTCGTCACAATTATTCGTCACAAATTTGTTATAATTTGGTTCGTCCTATTACAAAACTGCTATATGTTTGAAAAACTCTATACTAACCAGGATGTCCCACAGCAGCAGCTACATTTCGCCAAGCCAAATCTTTCTTCACCCGATCGCGGTAACTAAGCTGTCGTTTGTCCCACAAGCAGTTGTGTTTTTCAATCTCTGCTATAAGTTTTTCTTCGAACATCTTGCACTAAAGCTTCCGATATACCAACCAACACACAAGAATCGGATAATACAGCAGCCGGAACGATAAAAAAGTAAGGTATCTGTAAAAAATATTGTTGTTAGCAACAAATAATATTATTAATAACAAATAATTGTTTAATATAAACTCTTTTACCTCCAGTTGAATATT